GCCTCCTGCAGCGCCCCTGCTAGGGAAACTGAGGCCCCTGCGCTGAGCGCCTGCGCGTCAGGGCGCAGGGGGCCCGGAGCGGGCGTTCCGGGCGCGCAGGGCTGGTCTTGCCAAAGGCAGGGTGGGCGGGCCGGGCGGAAGGCGCAGGGTCTTCCAGCCCGGAGCGCGGGCTTGGAGGAACGCCTCCCCTTCCTTGGCTGCACCCTCGGCGCTGCCTGCCCCCCAGACGCAGAGACTCAGGACACTCACGCTTACTGAGGCCCAAGCAGGTGCCCGGCACTTGGCCGTACGTTCTCTTAGCAGCGTTGTGAAGTGGGCTCCTCATACTCCTTTCAGATGGGGAAACTGAGGCCTGTGAAGAAAGGCCGTTGTCCAGTCCACACACTAGTGAGTGGTGCAGCTGAGCCCGCAGCTGCCTCGGAGAGTCAAGACAAGGGGAGGCCCAGGGGCCTTCAGGAGTGGGACCTCGAAGGGTGAGGGGTGTGGTGTCACAGGGGTGAGAAGGCAGTGATGCTGTGGAGGGGACCCGCAGGAGCTGGGCCTGGAGGTCGGATGGAGCCTAGCATGTGGGGACCAAGAGCTGCGTCCTGTGGGAAGTGTGAGACAGCGAGGGCAGAGGCCACGATGGTGGCAACCCCTCCTCCACCCGAGGAGGAGGGCAGAGGTGGGGCTGGGCACCCAGGGTGGAGCTGAGCAGCCCCGCAGGCCAGACCAGGTCCTGTGTGTTCTCGGCATGCAAAGGAGATGGCTTGGGAGGGGGAGCTGGGGCAGTGGGTAGGTAGGGCAGAAGTGCCCAATGGCCTCACACCTGGGGACCCTGGCTTTGGGGCTCCTCTAAGCACTCACCACTTGGTCTTGAGCTCTTGGAACTCTCAGCCCAAATGGCACCAGGGAGGCAACTGAGGTCCAAGAGTGCGGGACTCTGTCCAGGAGGATGGCAGGGGCTGGGGTGGGAGGAACTCAAGCTTCCTGTCCCCCAAGTGGCTCTGGACAAGCTTAGGGTATGGTACAAGCCCCTCAGGGAACGGGAGAAGGGAGCTGAGCTAGTGGAGGCAGCAAGGGCTGTGGGAGGAGTCAACAGGCCTAATCGGAGCTCCCATGCCGGCTGCGCTTGGGACAATCACCTCCTACCTGCAGCCTTGGTTTCTCCTTCTGACTGACAAATCATCCTATCTGCCTTGCAGGGCTGTTGCAGGGGTACTTGAAGTCATCGTGATGCTTGAAATACGCTTGATGTATTTATTCTTGGGGGTGGGGCAGGCAAGGTTACAGGTTACAGGTCACCCCAGTTATTAGGGAGGCCCAGCTCCTGCCTGCTCCCTGCCTCAAGGCCAGTTATGCTCCTCTCCAGTGGTCCTGGCCTTGCTCTGACAATCGTCAGGCTACTCGAAAGGGCCTTGCCACTCTGGATGCAGCTTGCAGGGCAGTGGGAGATGCAGAGGCAGGGAGGGAGCCATGCTCTAGAGCTGTGTGACCTGAGTTCCAAGCCCAAGCTGTTGACCATAGGGACATTTTAAGCCTAAATAACACCCCGTCTGGATGTCAGAGAGGAAGAGATTGGATGCGCACCCAGGAAGGGCACAGAAACTGGAAGCTCTTGTGATAATGATGTCACCCCATTTGGGAGCAGGCAGGGTGGGACAGGAGCCAAGAAGCCTGAGTTCCAGGCACCAGTTGCTGTGTGACTTCAGGAAGCCCTGTGCTTCACTGAGTCCCTCGCACCTGTTGAAATGTGAAAGGCTTTCAGAGGTCCCTTTCCTTCCCCTGATGTTTGAGGGAGCCCTGTGGTTTCTGTAGACCTAAGCTCTGAGGCTGGCATGGGGCTTGGGCTTTGCTCCTCTTGTGGTCCCAGCAAGAGCAGCTGTGTTGCTGCTCATAGCATCCCTCCATGATCCCACAGCTAGATGAGAACTGGGCAGGATGGAGGGATGTGGCTGGGGCTGAGTAGGAGGAGGCCTGGGTTTCTGCTCAGATTGGCTTCTGATGTTCTATGACCCTGGCATAGCCCTGACTTTTCTGGATCTCTGTTCTTGCTGTGTCCAAAGGACAGCAGCCTGTGCCCTGACTCTTCCCCAGGGTCTTGTGGGATCCAGGGAGGTGCTCACTCCCTGCAGTCCCTTTCCCAGGGGTCAAGGGACTGTCAAGAAAGGATTTGCCAAAAGGAGGTGAAAGCCACCCGTGTGTGGGAGGCTTGGCGTCTCCTGCGACCTCCCCACTTCAGGGGCGATTCTGGGAGGGCCGTGGAGTATTGGAGGAGGAGCTATGAGCAGTGAGACATCCACTTCCCTCGTGGCCAGGGAGGAAGCAGAGCTGCTGGTGCTCATCCGGGCAGGAGATGGCCAGAGCCCTGGCGGTTGTACGGGTGAAAATAGATCAAGCAATGGCAGTACCGTCACCTCGGCTGCGTGCTCAGGCCTGGGAGCCAGAAGCCAGGACCAGTCCACTGTGACCACTGACCCTTCTCTCCAACCCCTCCCAAACCTTCAGGTCTGAGCCAGGGTGATGCTGAAGGTGACGACCTTCTTCCAAGGCCTTCCGGGCCAGCGGCCTGTGCCAGGGTCCCTCGACGTGCCCGGAAGCCCCCAGAAGTTACCCTCCATGGCAGAGGCAGACTCAGAGGCCTCCATGTCAGAGGCCTCCTCTGAGGACTTGGTGCCACCTCTGGAGGCTGGGAGAGCCCCTCAAAGGGACGAGCAAGAGGCTTCCAAGAGGAAGGAGAAGAAGCCAAGAGGCCTGGCCAACATGCTCAGCGTCTTCACCAAAGGGAAGAAGAAGACGACGAAGGCTCAGACGCCCAGCTCAGCGGAGCCGGAGTGCGGGCCCGAGTGCGGGTGGGCGTCGGACGGCCCCCTGCCCACAGGTAGGCTGGGACCCCCGGTGGGGCCGGGGGGAGGCCAGGGCTTCGGTCGTGCCTGGGACCCCGCCTCCCCCCTCGGCGGGCTCCGTGGCCGGGACGGTGGGGGGCCGGGGCTGACGCGGTTCTCCGGCCGCAGTGGAGGAGCTGAAGGCGGCCCTGGAGCGCGGGCGCCTGGAGGCGGCGCGGCCGCTGCTGGC